GGCCGACCACCAGCCCCTGACTGGCAAGAACAAAACCGGCGCGGGAAACTTGGGCAAAAGCCTCGATCCTGCGTGCCAAACCGTGAATACGTGATTCAGTGAACTGAAACTTTCGCGAAGGTTTAGGCGCTCTGTTTGTTTTATGTGCGACATTTCCTATGGAACAACTGATAGGTTAGTTTCTAGCATACCCCGCAGCTTTTGTTTGTGTAAAGTGTTTTTTATGTGCATCATGAGATTTTAAATTCATCTTGACCACATAATAGCTTTTGTGAGATGAGGAATCTTTCAAGACAGGTGGTGACATTCATTTACTGGAAGGTTTGGAGGTGTTCTGCTGGCACTATGTGAACCAGACCATCCTGTACGGTCGGCCGGCGTGTGTCACTACTCTAAAACAGCTCTGTGTGGCTCATCTACTAGTGTGAAGTTCAGTTGAATCTAAAGTCACGGTTGCACACTTTGAGTAGGTTCATGAATTCACAGGTTGATACATAAGGTCGAGGATTTCTCCCAAACTCCCCGTGTGCGGGTCAGCAGTCTTCGATCACCTGAAAGGCACAGGCGAAAAATGCATAAAAACCACGGCCATCTGGTCAGTAGTTCGTGCCCTAATCACTGAACAGTCGCGATTCTTAATGATTCTTCCTGAATCTCAAGGGACTAATTCAAATAACTTTTTGTTCAAAGCGCTGTGCCCAACGGTCGGACGTTCTCCTTTGATCGATATTACGGAGCCAGTTCGATCATTGGTACCTTCGCCGACAAGAGGCTTCCGAAGACCAGTCGAACGAATCAACTTGGAAAGCCTGTGATTGTTTCCAGCAGTTTTTGCTTTCACTGTCCCTCCAGTTTTTCGCGTCTACCAAGTTTCACGATCTGCGCAGATACTCAATTTTACCTGCCCTCGGATGATGCGTCGATTTATGTTGTGGTTGTGGGGGAATCTCTCGCCGGACATCCAGCGCAGTCGTGGTCTTCTCAGATATCCAATGTTTTTATGATGTTGGTTGGGTTGTAGCACAGACAAGCTCCAGCATTTAGTGGTGCTTTGGATAACAAACAAAGGTAGCTCAATGGTTAACGTGCAAACTTACCGCAAAGTCCGTGGTTTGAACCCACGGATGTCTAGGTTTGGGCAACCTCGTATTGACTCAGCCCCCGTGCCGTCTTTCGGGTGATGTGGCAAGTAGCTGGAGACCTATTATGTTATTACTTATTTTTGGCCATCCGGTAGGCGTTGGAGTAGCCGAGTTCGATAGGTTTGTTTAGTTTCTGGGTCACCGAGCTTCTCAATGGCTAAGCGAGGTATTCAGGTTTTGTGTAGACTTAAGAGCATTGGACAAGGGCATCCACGCAGGTATTCCAGAAAGAGCGGCAGGTATTGATCAACTCTCGGCATTGGCAACTGGTTGCAATCTGGTCTTTTTGGATACGGGTCTGGTTCACTGGTGAGCAACGCGCCAAGCGACTTCCGCTCTTCCAGAAATTAGTACTCTGCAAGGCAACAGTTTGTGAGTGGCATGCATCTGGAGCCAGCGCTCTCCGTTCGCGCCCCGTGTTCGCCCGGAGCGCTTAGCCTAACTACATCAACATTTATATCACCAGCAACCACCACAATCCTAGGATTCTTGTTAATGGTTAAAAGGCACTTAGAACGTCATGGGAACGGTCCTTCGCAGAATTAAAGCTACAGTATGACATCAGTGTTCAACACCGATGCTCCACTGCCGTACAATCATGAGTTATTTCAAGGTCTTATTGTAAAGAAAAATATGAAGGTAGACGGGAAATGACCTTGGTGCTAGCTTACTATAATCATTCCGGGGTGCCTGCCTCCACTCATCCAGGCAATCTGGATAGAAACTGACAATAAGATTGCCACTAACATCGTTTGGTAGCCATATTTCGGAGCTTTTCCAACCAGGTGCAGTGAGGACCATGTGGTCCCAATCCTGGAAGGCGAGTAGCAGCGACAGCACTCAAACGTTTCGTGATTTCTTTCGTGCCCCTCTGCCAGGTCGAGCGTTGGCCACCTCTCTGCTTCCGCCACTGAATTGGGCATGGAAAACAGCACTCTCTCCGGGAAATGATGGTTAGGCATACGCAACACGTCCAAACCAACGCAGCTTCTGGTGCTGGATACATTCTTCAATGAAAGTACCCGATGAACAACTGAAAACGCTTTTCCAAACTGCCTCTTTACAGATACGCCGACACCAACCCACATGAGCAGTGGTTCTAAGACAACGATTGTCGAACACCTGAAGACGTCTCAGTTCTGCTGCTCGAACCAAAGCCATACAACGAAGCAGCCCACACTGTAGCTTGATACATTCATCCATTGAGACTCATGGATACACCACTTTGACGCCATAAGTGTCACAAATCAGAAAAACGTGGCCCCGGTCTTGCAGATTCGTGCATTGACCTCATCTGCCACACTACCGTCGGTACTAATGCAACTTGCAAGATACGTAAAACGCTCCACAATTTCCAGTACCTCTCCAAAAACACTTGCAGCTTCTCCTCCTCTTCGAAGATGAGAACGGTGTCGTCTGCTCATTCCAGATCGACAAGGTTTCCGTCACAGGCTATTTGTATACTGGGGTTTCGGAGAACTTCCAGTGTTCTCATGATTTCATCGATCACTTAGTTGAACAGGAATGGGGAGAATGGGCATCCATGACGGACACCACTTTGTGAACGGAAGCTTTTAGACAGCTTATCGTCTACTCTCACCTGTCCGGAAGTCTGAGACTACAAAGAGCTTATAATGTTCACGAACTTCCGTGCATTTCTTGGTGGGCAAGCGTGCGAAACATAGCAAACAGGTCAAGCGATTTAAATGCGTTTTGGAAACGCAGGAACACCAGAATTGTGGATTGTTTATACGCATGGCGTTGTTCTAGCACCTGACGAAGTGTGAAGATTCGGTCAACGCAACCTCTTCCAGGCCGGAATCCTGCTTGCTCCTCTCGAGTCAGTGTTCCACGAGCCACCATAAGGCCACCACCAGTGACACCAACAGTCTCGTTACGACCGGGTTCAAGCTGATCCCCCTGTGGTTGCCACACTCACTACGAGCCTCAATTGTCTGGGGCAGACTTTCCAAATGCGAACAAACGGATCAGACATGCGCTGTTTCCAAATGCGAACAAACAGATCAGACATGTGCTGTCTCAGGACTTCACCCCTATCTTTGAACAAGTGGGCGGGAGGCTACCCGGATCAGTGGCTTGGTGGTTGTCAAGAGAACATGTGCAGTCATTAGCCTCCGAGGCCGTAGGCGGTTCCACGTTCATCGTCCAAGGTTCTACTTCACCTATGGGCTCCAGATATGTACCAGCTGTGAGCGAACGTCCCGGGAGCACTTCGTGCCCCGAGGTTTCAGAGGCAGGCAGAGGAATCTCAAGCAACACATCAATAACAAAGATGAAGAGGAAAAACGAGAGAGGTGGCCCTGTCTTACACCAATGGACTTGTGGAACTCGGGCTCAAGCTTGCCGTATACTCGTACCCGTCCACAGGAGTCCGCACGAAGTACCCCCATAAAAGATATAAGTGTGGAAAGGACACCCTTGCTCGCCAGACACTGTCAAAGGCAACTTTCAGCTCCATCTAACCGACCAACGTAGGACGTTCGAAAGAGTGGCGCGGTTCTAGGACTTGCCTCAAGGTAAAGATGTGATCAACCTGTTTTAGGCCAAGGTGGAACCTAGCTCGAATATCATGAATATGTCTCTCTCGATAATCGATCAACTTGCGCAAAATAATGTCAGAGAGTCTCTTGGATGCCACAGCTACCAAGTTGATGCCACGATCGTTTTTGCATGACGTTCTTGCCCTTGTTTTCAAGACGGGTGACGGTCAAGTCGTTCCATGTTATTATGTGTTCGTTCCAAAGCTTTTGCCGTATGGTTACTTGATTGTTCACCAGGACATTGTTTCACTGATACTTGCCTTATTTTGACCGGTTGATCGAATTGGCTGAAATAGGGCGCCCAGTGTTGCCTTCAGCAAAAATCCTTCCTACCTCTTGGGCATTCGCACTTCACGGATGATTTATGTCGTTCCTCGTCTTGGGCATTCGCACTTCACGGATGATTTCTATCATTCGTCGAGCTCGTGATTATCCGGTGTTTGATGGATCTGTGTGCGCCTTCACAGACACTAGTTGCTGGCACTGACCTTGCTGGCAGCAATACGATGTGCTGATCTCGACTATATCCGAGTCGGATGACTTGGGCAGACAGTTCTGAAAGCATAGAGCTCGTTTCCCTTCAACCTCTAATCAATCTTCGTCATTCGCATGATTGCGTTTCTAGTAGCCAGAACCGCACGGTACTCTTGAGCGATTGAGACTTTTTGACGTTGACGGATAGCGTCGCTCTGCTTTGGCACGCGTATTGCTGGCGGAAGCAGTGGTAACCGGCCGCGCACAATGGCATAATCAGAGTCACGTGGTGTACTACAGAAGAAACGACAATCCTTAATTGAGGCTCGTCATGGTTAACTGATAGCCACATGGTCCGGTTGAGTTAATGGCTGTCTCGTAGTTGGGGGCCTCCAAGTTGTGCTGGAGGTTTGTACTGGTGGTGAACAGATAATGATCTGCACACATCGGGAGTGGTTGCTCCCCATTATCCGTACGCTGGGCATTGACTCCAAATTTACCCTCCAGATGTGCGTCTTCCGGACTTGGTCGTCCGACCGGGGCATTTATATCATCCGCCAGGATTACTACATCCGTCCTTCTTGCTGACCGAAGAGGTCGTTAACGATCTTGATCAAATCCATCCTTCTCAGTCTCAGGACTACAGTCTGTCGGGGTGTATGCTGATACGACAAGTAAAGGCCTTTTACAGCATCTACCTGCACTGATGTCAATTGAGCCAGACAACCGCGCAGCTCATAGACGACTGTTTACTGGGAGCCTGTCAAGTAAGGCACTTTCATCCTTGGGGTTGAGTGCAACTGTCACATCGTCGATACCAAGAGCCGCTGGATCTGGACCACCGGATGCCCGAAGAGTGAAATGTGGAACATCTAAGCTCGTCCTAATCAGCTTGAGGTGCGCCACCGAGATGGGGTCTTTTGTGCGTGTTTCGGAGACACAACATACGTCGACCGATAGGGAAAGCAAGGATTCAGCAAGAGGTGCATGTTGCCCAGTTGGACATAGTTTACATACATTAAGGGCTGCATTGTGGATAAGATCCTTTGAGGTTAGTTAGTAATTGCTTTGTTTTTTTCTGACCGAGGATCTGGACACAGCATAATGGTTATGGGACTGGCAAATGGGTTGGTCGCACTGCATCATTCGACCTGTGGGGAGGGGGTGTGGTGGATGGTCGGTGAGGGAAGAGCTGCAGGGGCGAATGACACCTTCCGAAAAAGGGTCTTATTGAGGTACTTTACCTTGGGCCTCTAACCCAAAAATCTGACCTACTAGGCAATGAGAGGATGTGGGGTTTCGTTCAGGGACTCTACCCCTATCCCATTACCCAAAAATCTAAGACAGTGTTCGTTAAGGTTTTCTCGGGGGTCTTCCCGGGGCCAACGACTCAATAGTGTGGCCGACTTGGTTGCAGGGGGCTGGGTTGGCCCATGGATGCATGAAGTAAGGCGTTTCTGTCTAATTCATAGTGTATCTGCGCACAGCAGGAGCTTTTTGAGCAGTACTGGCCTCTGATTTTAAGAGTATTCCAACCTTACTGAATAGTTTGCCGGTGATCATGCTCATGTACAGTTTTTAGTGCCGGGCTTTCTAACATGTCCTTTCTTGTGGGAAGGAAGCATCGTTGCTTCTGTGAGTAGGGACATCCTAATCGCCTAAAAGAAACATCAGACTTGCTTCATATTTCATCGCAGAGAAGAGTACGATATAATATGAACCTCCATTTTCACATCCACCGCCGAGGTTCGAGACACTATAAGTCCTTCTCATGGCGTGAACGTACCTAAACAATATTTAGAAAGATTTTGGCTTAGTTTTTGTCGTTATTGTGAAGGACGCTCTTGTTTCACCTACCTGGTAGCTGCGGGCTCAAATTTAGCTAAGCTCATTCCACCGATGTCCTACATTTTTGTCTTCGACCAGTAGCAGTTCACTATGTCGGCAGTCTCAAGGCCGCTTTCTTCGCACCTATCCATTAACCACTTGTTTATTCAACCAACACTCAGTCTCGGTTTGACACTTGTTGCTCCGGCATTTGTCCAGAATCTTAGGGAGTAGCCATGGAACGGGGATTACAAGGTCACGATGTTACGTCTGTGACCGCAAAAGAGGCACAGAGAACTCCTTTGTGGCTCTTCCGTCTTCTTCTCTCCAAACTGCTCTGTGATACTTGTCAGGCAATCATCCTATGGCGACAGTGACTGCCTTGGTAATCAGAAGCGTTTTGAACGGTGGATTGAACCAAGTTTTGTTTTCTTTTGTACGTATGAAGATTGTCGCTTTATCTCCTGAGTGCTCTTAATTTGGATATGCAACGGAATTGGCAGTTATATCGCTGTCGGTGCCTACGATCACGTTCCTTGTCAAAAATAGCTAAAGACAGTTCGATTCAACAGCGTTTGCTCGAGCGAACTGCAAATAGCCGTGAGGTTGTACAAACACAACAGTTGACAAATGAAATTAAATATCTCACAATGGTTTTCATCTGCCCCTTGGATTATGGCACGTAGGATGAATCTGGCAGGTTTGTGCTGCCTTTATTTGTGTATGTGCTATTCATGCTGCCTTTAGTGAATGTCTGGAGGTGTAGGCACCTCGGAATGATTGTGTTAAGCTAGCACTAAGTCCCTCCCCCATCCACCTTTATTCTTTTCTTTTCTTCCAAATAAGTCATGGTCGTACGGCAGTGAAGCCTTGGTGTTGAACACTGATGTCATGCTGTCGTTGATGATGATGATGATGATGATGTGCTGCCTTTAAGAAGTACAATCCCATAGATATTGATGGTTGAAAATCCCTAGGGTATAAACGAATCCGCTTAGCCCCATCAATTTGGATCTCTCAGGCTGGACGACCGCTTATAGTTGCCTCTACCCATCAGCGGTTACTGAGACAAATCAAATCTGTTCTCTCTCTCTCTGACCGCTGGGCGTCTAATGTTTGCTGTCCTTCCCTCCTTAAGAGTCTGTCATCTTGGGAACGTACAATTTCTGATTTCTTGGAATGTTAGTCTCTTTGGGAAGCCCGGTCTATGGCTTGCTCTTTGTTGTGTCAACACTGTAGTTCGGCACTACCGGTTAGGTCTTGCTTCTCTTTCGTTGTAGAAAGCAGTTGTTACTTGCACTCGTTCATCTGTTCACACTTAATTTATTTGATGCCTACCGTCTATCTTCGACGTTGATTCGTTCATTTATAGATCAGTGCACATCTGAAAAGAACACACAGGACCAATGGGACTTAATCTTACGGATATGCGAGGAATATGGAAGTAAAGAGTAAGTTTTTGGTCGATAAAACTCACCATCAATGATCAGGCCTAAAGCTTGTTTGAAGGCAATCGGCAAGCGGATTTTCCACAAGAATCCAAACGTATCTCTGCGTGCGATCACGGTACTTCTCAGCTTGATACTCATTACCAAGTCATTCAGTTGTTGGATGCATGTAGCAAGAACTGTGGAAAGCCATTCAATCGAGAAATCGCCTCGCGGGACTTCACGCATTCTGTCAAGAGTCGGTTTTCCGTAAGTTTCCGGGTTGGTCCAGTCGGAATAAACCTTACCTTGGTCTCTAGAATTTGCAACGTATTCCCAGCGTCAAACTCACTGAGGTGTTTGAAAAATGGGCCGAGGAATTCAAATCGGATTCTGAGTTAGCGTAAGTTTCCGTGAGCTGTAATGCACCAAGTATCTCGTCTCATTTTAGTTTGGCTGCCAGTCTGTACAGCTGGGTCAAAAGTGAGCACTATGACGTAATTCGACATTTGCTGGAAGATCGACAGGTGAGTTGATCTTTTCGCCAGCTTGTGTACGTTATCCTGAACTTAACATGTTTATCTTTTGAACGATGTCCGTTCGTCATTATTTCCAGCCAAACTAGCCCTACCATAGGGCACTTCGTTCTTCACAGAAACAATCATCCCACGATGAATGGCATAGTTCTGTTTCCAAACTCTCTGGGGGATTCTTATATTGGCGACATGTGGTTCATTGTGTCACAATTTGTTTATAATTGAGGCTCATTTTGGGAGAATTCAGCTTCTAGTGTGATCTGGAAGTTCTTTTCAATGTATCATCTGTGGTCACTACAGTGAAGCCAGCAGCCATTACGTACGACAGTGAAACACCGTTAATATATCCGTTTAATGAAGAGATGATGAATGTTTCCACTGCTAAGAGATGGGACTTATTCTTGTTTGGCGGTTCGTTTACATTTATGACCCATTGAGCCATACTGGGGCTTCCACTTTGACGACTATGAAGTTTCTCAACCAAGTTGTGGGTGGATAGAGGTTTGACGCATATAGTCTCCTGGTGTTTTGGGTTGGAAGTGGGAACAAGCACAGTGGTTCTTCCCCCAAAAAAGTTTCCACCTGCGGTAGTATACCTGCAACCACCCGCTGCCTCGTGGTCAGTCATCTAATTGTTGGCGTCATGACGATATCCCAGCCCACGTACAGCCACAGCTAAAATCTACTGTCACGCTGTGCCTGTTGTCGCTCGGTACCATCAGCTGGGTCCTCTTACTTGCTGCATACTGTAGGACCCGTAAGCGAAAACGTTGTCCTACTTAGACTTAATGTCAGAACTAGGATGGACCGCCTTGCTCGCCTTTTATCCTGCTCATCTTCAGTAACAACCCTAAACCCCCCGAAACCTGTTTTCAAATCTCAAAAGCTGGCCTACCTAACTTACACAATGAAGCAAGCATGAGGACAAACAGCTCCTGCTCGTACGCTGGATTCCCTCTACATTGATGTATGCTGTCTTACGGGAGCAAGTATCCATAAAGCAAGTACTGTACTCAACTGTCTTGTTGACGCACAGGTCGCTGCAGCTGGATATTGTGTTGAGCCATCAAAAAGAGACTTCTCTACTTGATTGGATATCTGTTGACACAATTTTTTGTAGTTCGTTTGGCAACGTTTGCGAAAAATTCTCGAGAAAGAGTGATCCGTCACCCCATGTTTACTGTATCAATTCACGCCCGGACGGACTGTGACTCCGTATCTGCCAAAGACATTTTGTATGGCGCTCCATGTGCTCTTCTAAAATGCGTTAGAAACCCAGATATCGTTGTGGTCGCAAGTGTCGTGAACGCTTAGGTGGGCTCAACGCTACTAAGACTCAGGTAGGTAGTCTTCGTAGATTGCAAACGGAACGCGTTCACAACAGAGGGCGCTGTGTGTGCCGATCATAGACTGTTCCTTTGCAATACAAATTTCCCGGACGTGGGAAATCGTTTGACTGTATGGAGTTCAGCAACGAACAGGTCCTCCAACCCAAATAGACCACATTGCCTGTGGTGAAAGTCGGTCATTATCTGTGATTCCTTTTGAAGTACCTGCGTAGTTCTGATCACCGCACTTGGCCGTTGCTGCTTTTCGTTGTGCTTTTCACGCTAAACGCTGAACACACATTGGTTGGCAATCGAGAACTTCATGCACCCAGAAATCAAACAGATGTTTCCACCTACTCAAACGTCTGTCTATGTGCCTGTCTGCCTACTATTCCTATATCACGCTGTAACTATCGGTAGAGTGATCCCGGGAGCGAGATGATGATGATGGAGCGAGATATCCAGGGCTGAACTTCTACCTGCAGTACAGTCCTTTTTTAAGCATGGGATCTCCGATACGATTATGGTTCGGCGGGAGATTCCGGATCGCAGCCACAACCCAACTCGACGCAACGTTGGACACCAGGTAGGCGCAAGTATCTGTGAAGGCCCGGAAGCTTGGTGGATCCGAAAGATCCCTAACTGTCCAACCTATCTGTATCTATCTTGGAGTTAGAGACCTGCTCGGACAATCAGGGCCACTCCATAATAGTGCCCATCTTCAGAAATGTACTCGCAGTGAATGTGACAACCATGCAAAGAGGACTGAATGGGATTTCGACCTTGTGGATGTTGAACCGGCATTGCACTTTGTCGGGTATCTCAACAACGCCATATGTACAAACTACCCATAATCCTGGTGTTTCTTGACTTCAAATGTGTCCGATTGTGTCAGTCGTTGAGCATTTCTAATTACGCTTTATCAGGAAGGTCAGCTTCCTGAAAGCAACAACTGAATGCCCGGAATCTACGGCGACTCAGCTCCGCTGGGTGTTGACCAGACAGACAACGCCCCCTCAATATGCAGCGCGTCACGGCCTTGCATCAAACCCAGACAGCGCGAGTCAGCGTTGATCAAGGTCAGACAACGCCCCCGCAATATGCAGCACGTCGCAGCCAGACCGCGTGCGTCAGCACTGGACCAAGTTCAGACAGTGTACTTCTAATAAAAAGCTTGAGGCTGTTGTACTTTTCGCACTCGCACGTACTCGCGCTCTCGCAACCACTTTGTTGGGATATAGCTATTGTGTTCCCTTCCGTGAGTCTTTTCTCTCCGATACTAGGCACTGGAGCGGGTCAGCAGTAGATACCACAGGCCGGCGAATCAGCAGATATAACACACTTGTTCGACAGGGATGCTTCAAATGTATGAGCATTATCCGGTCCTTATGTTCACAAACTTCTGTGTAGTTCAGTATATGAGGGTTTTCATTCTCTTCGTTCTTATTCACCTTCGCCATTGAGTAAATCGACGAGGTGAACGTGGGAAGGCCTCCAAAAGTGCCGCGTCAAATCGTTGGTAATGAGAACCTTGTCGGTCTGGAGTACGCAGACGACGTCGTTCTGATATTTGAAGACGAAGACAGCACAAATACCACTGTCACACAAATGCAAATGAGCACCACCGTACCATCTCTTGGCGTGGGTGATTCACCTACAGACTATAAAGTCATGCAGCCCCTGAGCTTGCCGCTTGCGACCCAAGGAGACTGACTAGATGTAGCGGAGAATTTCCCATACCTGAATAATTGTACTGATTCTGGCAACAGTGTGCCTGTTGAAGTCAATGTCCAAATCTCAGAGATCCGAGTCACACATGCCAGTGCGCATCACTTGTTGCGTTTAAAAGGTGTATCACTGTGTCTCATGAATCGCTTGTCCAAGGCTTCAGTAAGGGCTTTGTCGTCATATGGTTGTAGACAAATGATCTCGGGCTCCTATAGGTTTTCTACCACCGATGTCTCAGAATCGTTTTTGGTCTCGAATTCGTAAAAAAATGATTTGGTTGAATAACAGGTATTTTAGCCACAGAAAATACCCAGAGCTTTCATCTTCGGTGACTTGACCGTGTGCTGCGCTACAGAAACATCCTTGCTTTCTTCGTAAACGGCGTGGTGACGACGCGCCACTCGGAAGAAGGGTCGGAATCAGATTATGAAGAGTTTGGTTGTTGTTGCTGATGATGGTAATGAGGAGGAGAGGGAGGATAGCGGTGGGAATTGTTCGCAGTCGTTCACAAAGTTTTCACCACTGATCCCTTCCATTACCACCAGCTTTTGCTGTCTAACTTTCCCTCACATTTTCCCCCTCCTCGTTATAATCTTTTACTGTGTATGTTTCGTACTGTGTTGATTTCAACTTCAGACGTTACTAGTTTTAGGCTGCATATAATGTCCTGGACCCACCTAACCAATCTTGTTCTGATGACTTCTGGAGAAAATTACTTTCCATTATCCCTGTGCTTTCGTTTGTTGTCGAATAGTTGTACAACAACAGACAGAATCGACGTTTTGTTATTGTTTGTGTACACGCTAGATTAATGTTCTGGTCTTCACGTGACTCTCGCGACTAGCCGCGTATCTGTGGTTGCCTACTCACTAGTGTGTGGAGGGTCGATAAAATGTACTTGTTTCATACTACAGCTTATGCCTTTTCATTCACCGATTGGTGAAATATTCGTTATATTCACCCGCTGGTTGAATCCGTTAGACTATTTATTAGGATGTTGCTGTTATGCGTGTCGATTGTGCTGTTTACTAGTGGATGAATTTACGGATTCCGTGCATTTACTAATTTTTCTCACCGGGTCTTTCTTGCCCCTAGCTTTCCGCTCTTTTCAGTATCGTGATTACCGAACTCATCATTGTCTTTCTCCCCATTAGGAATGAATATTTTCCATACAAGACTGTGGTAGTGCATGAGTACCTGTTTGAGTATGTCTTCAGTTCATCCTCAACTTCCATTTGGCGATAACTCGCACAATGTATGCGGGCGCCATCAACAACAAACTAACAGCCGTTCAGCCGTAACACATTTTCGGTGCCTAGCTGCCATGCACCGCGAATGGAATACGATAGCTAAGATACTGTCAAGTTACCCAAGCCTAGACGGGAGCAATCAACATGCCAGGGTTGGTTCCGAATTACGGACCTTCCTGTTTGTAAGTTTGCGGCCTAACCGCTGAGCTATCTCGAGTCATCACAATCACTAGCTCTTTTGTTCGGCGATGGGTTTTAGACTTTTGCAGAATCAATAACCAATGTGGTTTTCCAGAGTTTCTTTATTTACGTGTCTCTGTTTGACTACAATGATCTCGGAACGTTAACGCGTTGGTGCACTGTCCTCATGGAACTAGCAAGTTTCATCGTGTTTGGAACGTGAATTATTAGTCTGTTCTATGACACGCTGTGTGCCTGACAGTTGGTCACTGGAACAGGCACGGGATCTCTCACTCATAGGATTAGCCTCTTTTCGGCGCTTGGTTTGTGGCTGACAGGGAATACCGTTTTGGAATCCTTGGGGCTTCAGTTGCCGTGAGAGTTATTACCTGTGTTACTCCACTATTTTCGTGGGCGCCTACCCTTCCGATAGCGGCCATCAGGTGGATTTTTTGCGCACTTAAACATGCCCGCCAAACACATTTATTGTAAGATCCATTTAGCTGAGTGTAGTAACTTTCTACACTGTTGATCTTAAATGCCCCGGTGAGTTGATTCCATTTCATGGTGACTGAGTACTGTCACTTATCTAACGCATCCTATGTGCGTGTGTTCGTTTTTATGGTAATGCAATTCAAGCGGTGTGTACTTTTGGAGCTGGTCATCTGTTACCAGTGGGCGAAGATAAACAGAACTCTCACTTGCGGTCAAACTCTGATGAAATCGTCGGTTTACGGTCGTAAGCATTTCATCACAATTTGGTAGCTGATATGCACTTGACACCAAACAACATATGGTACCACTTTCGCTGTGTTTACAAAACCACGATAATTAAAAAAAACATGCTTTTTTTCGCCGAGCAGTTGAAATTTTTTCCTGAATTTTTTTCGCTCTTCGACCGTTTTTCAAAGGCTATCAAAGCTGGGAGCGCACGGCAAGTTGCCGCACAGCTGAAAGCCAAAGAGGAGGAAGAACTGGCCAAAGGTGAGCATTCAATACATCTAAGCTGTGGTTGTGCACCTGTCTCTAGGGCGGACACTTTCCATCTTGCAACAACACTCGGCTAATATTGTGACGAAATTTAAGTGAAAATAACTTGTCAAAAAAACTGGACAGAATTGTTCCGAAAGGTCGCAGGGCTTGGTCACCTTCGCTAACCAACGAAAAGTTGTGACGGAAACCTAGCACTATCAAGAAGGTTGACTGTCAGTTCACCTACAGCATGACTGACTTCGTAATTTGGTCTGACGAGGGCAAAACACTGCTCAGCAATGTGTCCATCATTCTCGTCTAAACTCCTCTGAAACAATGTCATGACAGTTAGTTTGTCATGGATGTCTCCTCTCCCATTTAAATGGGAGCGATATAAATAACATCGAAGTTTTACCCAAAGTTCGCTCAGTTCAGAACTGTTTAAACTCTCATTTCTGGTGTTCCTGTATTTAAGATATCATGAGGAAGGTAAAATCCTGTATTAAGGAGCCTATCGTGCTCCTTTGTGTTCAGCTCTAGCGCCCTTCCGGTACCTAGCTGCCATGCCACCCGAAGGAAACACCAGGGCTGGGATACTACCAGGTTGCCCAAGCCTAGACAGGGGAAGTCGAGTGGCGGAAGTCGGATTTGAACCACGGACCTTCCGGTCAGTAAATTCGCGCTCTAATCACTTGGGCCATCTCAACCCCGTGCTCCTTTACAGGAGTTCTGCTTTGTCTTTCTGCCTCCTAAGTTTGCCAGGGTAGTCGTCTTTTGTATGTGAAAATTGTAGTGCTCCTATATACCACCTTGGTAGGTAGTCCAAGTCAGGTTGTTGTAACCAATTCTGGTGTAGTTCTTGGCTAAGAATCTTAAACAAGACCTGACAAATTGGATCCAGCACCTACGAAGGTATATCTCAGTGCCTCTCACACGGTCCTGTTCGAAAACTGGAATTTTACCTCCGAACAAAGCACCGTGAGTACGCTTTGGGGGCCATTTTAACTCATCAATTCGTGTCAAAGCAATTAGTCCCTTCATTATTGTCACCCAACCTCGGGGATTTTTTTCATCTGAGGTTATCCTTGTTGAAGATCGGGTGACAACTTGAAATTGAAAGATGGGTAGCACAGTAAATTAACACTCAGTAGGACCTCATCCTGCAGACACGGTCTGGCTTATTTCCCCCTCATTTGTATTTCCTCGGGGTTGGAATTAACGTAAGTTACGTCATTTATGCTGGACATGGTCGAACTAGCGACTCAAACAGTTCAGGCTTTGTGCGACCACATGCCCGCACGTGACACATCCGTCCAGCGGACGTGATGTTCCGGTATTAAGATTGGTTGGCTTCCGGACACTAGGACAATGTATTTTGTGAACACAAAAAGTCAAACACTGCCGGGAATAAGCGATCATCAAGTTAAATGAACCAATGGTGCACTGTGTTTGGTCAGGTTACAGGCCAATCACCGTATCTCTTGCTCGGCCACGAAGACTAGCGGAACGTTGTGGATACTACTGAGATTTGTTGTGTAAATGCGACTGTAATGAGTACACTTTGTCCCCATTGAAGGCCTTCTGGAAAGCACGCGATTTTTACACCATAATGACCGGAACGGCAAGCGAAGGACCAATATATACGAGTTGCGCGACCACTTCCCGCTTGTCATTCTGAAAAGTGGGGAAAGAACAAAAGACACGCTGACTGAATTGTCTGAGCTCATTTAGTTTGTCCGACTCCCAAGTGCCTGTTATGATTATCACTACGGATCAGCATAAAACATAAAACTATATTGGAGATAACAGGGTTCTATCAGCGCCTCATCTCTCAATGTGCACTTTGGTGTAACTCCCATGCATCCGGTCGTTTCAGCAATCAGATCGCACTGGAAAGTGCCGGTGTAGGTAACAGCCTGCAGGCTAGTGCTTTGCTGTTTTCACAAACTGCCTTCTGGTTTATCCTGTTCAAAATGGTCACCGCGCCGCTATACTTAGCTCTTTTGGTGGAGATTTCAACAACACTGTTACGGGAAAATCGAACAGGATATTCCATATGCGGTGCTTCTGATTTAAGAATTTTACGGACTGATTGTAGAAAAGATACCATCTTATGAGCACTGTTTGGTACGACGATCATAAAAAAACGTTGAATGGTACTAGATAGTTTAAAAATTTAGTCATCATCTCACATACCGCCAGGTATGCTGAATGTAAAGCGTTGGTTCATTAGATACCTTGTATTTTGATTCGAAGTCGGCCGTTGGACGCTCCGTAGCACTGCATTGTTTGTATTTTGATTCGAAGTCGGCCGTTGGTCGCTCCGTAGTTATCGATCGGAATCAGCTTGCGTGAACTTGCCGCTCAAGTGCTCGCTTAGTACTACTCTGGCTTCGATATCTTTTATGCCTACACCACAAGTTCTTTGTGGCCATCCTGGACCAAAGCCCTGAGGACGTCAGCATTGTGAAAATATCGGAAACCATTCATTCAATAGAGCTTCTGCAGTGTCTCTCCAACTTGCTCTTACCATCATATTCCTTAACACCGACAGGAACACAAGTGTGAAAAGGCTGGTGAAGTCCCCTTCCAGTGAGTGTCTCTCAAGGCCATTAGGCTGCCACTCACTCCATCTCAGCATTGATTTTAGGCTAATGGCTATGTGCTGTGCTTCCAATAGCGATGTCCGGGGTAGCTTTTGACAACGTCTGACATCTATGTCTTACCAATTGTCTGAACATGGTGTGGCTGACAACACAGAAATGCCCCCGATTAACATTTTGGTTAAAAAACTGGATCAGTGCAAACGGGTATAGTAAACGCGGGTTTTGACCAAATACGACAGTTGCGAACAACCCATAGGTCGCTCATCGTTGGCATGTACACAGGGCTGGGTTGCACGTTGCTACGGCGATCCGAACGTATACACGTTAGTATTGCTTTACCAACCCATTGAAAGCCTATAAGGAATATTGGCCACCTGCGTCAGTTCATCGTCACACCCCAAGTTACTATGTGTATCCAAGCTTTTCAACCTAAAGTCTTCCAGTGGGTGCCATGTGGAATACAATTTAACCGTCCGCTTAGCGTGAAAGTTAAATCTATTGATCCGATGAGCTCATCGTCTCAAACGGTGCATTTCTAAAACCTCATGCATCCATGTTGTCTTTCGTGAGAATCCTTCATGGATCAATTCACATACACTGACTGGTCCCTTAAGACGAGCACTTAGTACCCATCGGCTCATTGTAACAGCTGCTCTCACGTTTCTACGAGGGATCGAGTGATACAAGTTTACGTCTTAATAATGTTGGTGGTTAGGCTTTAATTGCGATTTGACGTTCACAAGTAAAGCGCAGCTAATCGACATGATGGGACACCACAGTTACTTGATCTTTAGCGGTCGATTGAATCATATGTTAGGCACGTTTTAGTACACTGAAACCCGCGATTGAAAAGCGCAGGGTTTTCGGCGTAACTAGATCGCGAAAGGTCGCATCAGTTAAACTGTCGGATTTATTTTCATATTCTTTTGGAATTTGCAACTCACCTTCATGTGATAGATGGTGGTGGACGACCCGTGTGTATTTTTGATGATTACTGTGTCCGAATCTCCTTTGACGGACTGCTGAGGTTCTTTCAATTTTTATTGGATGAAGTGATTGACGTAACGATGGTTCTCCAAGGATTTCGAAAAAGTGATCTTGTTCTCTTCGAACAGCACTGTTAGCAGTTGTCGTCTGTCCGTTTGGAAATCGAGAGAATAAACATTAGTCTGTTGTGCTTTGAGACATGCATATTAAATTCCCTCCCTGATTCATCCACAACCACTAATAAGATCATGCTTTACCCAAATCCACCATTGTCGATAGAATACAGCGGTCGATCCCATCATCGGTAAACGAGGGATATCAGTCTAACCGCAACACAATCTTGCGCATTTGGCATTTCCAGGGAACGTTTGAAATAGTTATCAACTCCCACTCTGCAACCGCGATCGTAGTGATGTGCGCCCGCAACTCACTTACCTAAAACCCACGTGGGAGTATTCGTATGAGGTCAGCACTGGATCAGCTCGCTGACCAAAAGTCTGATACTACGACCTGGAACCGCTGACGGTTAAATTGTCAGCAAAGCACCAGCCATCGACCCTTACCCAAATTCTCTGTTGTATAATTCCCAAACCTCCTCATACCATTAAAAGATCCAAGTGTGCGGCAATAAATCTTCGCATAATGTGCATCTGGTAACAAAGATGACTTCTCCAAATGCTATCTAACCAGCGTAACATTAAAAAGCTTTTCATGGCTTCATATGAGATCTGCAAGGAGCAAGCGGTTTAATTTCTTTTGTCTGTCCACATGCTGAAAGGATTTCCTATTAACTCACGCGCCTTGTCGGGTATGCCATCCATCACTGTTTATCACCTCATTGTTATTAACTTGCAGTTGTTTTCTGTCAGCATTTCCATGTACCCCATTTTCATTTCGTTCATCTAGCCATCGCATTGTCACTAAAAGAATCGGGGAACAAAAGACCCGCTGATTCCGGCCCGTCACGCACCGCACAACCAAGCACCGCCACAACTACTGCTTCATCTAATTTGGGGAAATCCAACCTCTATCCTGAATTTGCAGCCTCAACTCTTCCCAGAGCTCAAGCGGCACCAGTCAAGGGCCGTGTCAGGGCTCTCTATGATTTCGAAGCCGCTGAAGATAACGAGTTGACTTTCAAGGCTGGGGAGCTCATCGTTCTATTAGATGATTCTGACGAGAACTGGTGGCGTGGTAGCAACCATCGAGGAGAGGGTCTGTTTCCTGCACAGTTTGTCAAATGTGAAACCGAAGAAAGCCCGTCATCTAAGAAGAAGGATATGAACGGACCTGTCACTGAAACCCCGAAACTCAGCAAACCCGTTCAACTAGATGCAAAGAAACTAGATGAGTGTCTACGCCTAATCAGTATGGTTGATCCGACTGGCGAGTTTCGACCGGATCCTCCCGAACTACCCCAGCTTGAGGCTGAGTGTAATGCAATGGCGCCTTTGGTCGATCCGGAATTGGAGAAAGTCGATAAGCGGGTTCTGATGTTGTCGGAATTGAACCAACGATTGCTCGACGCGTTTCAAATGTACCACGATCTGATGTCCGAACCACCTCCACTGTCTGCACCGTACTATGGTGGAGGTGCAATCCCAGCAGGTGCAACTGGGTACATGCCTCCAATGGGGGCGTACGGAGCCCCACAACCCGGCGCGGGAGGAGTGCCTTACGGCGCTGGAGCTTTGCATCAGGTTAGAGTTTTATGCTATGATCAATTCGTCTTTGGTTTGTGTCGGGCGGCACCCACTCTCCTAATTTGTTTACCAACTCTGGACCTCCAACGCAAGGAGCGCCGTTGGTGGTGCATTCAATGGTGATGAACACCTAGTACTGAAACCTGACTTGATGATGAGCCGCATTCCCCTTAGCCTGGATACTATCAATTCTAAGGTGGTATTTTGTTAAACACTTTGATATGTAGGTTAATCCGATAAATTTTCTACTGACTCACACGTTCATAGATCAAAAGTGACTGGACGACAGCAAGACAAGCGTCACAGTCAAAGCAATGTGCGCACGTGCACAGACTGTTGTTTTCAGTCACTTGAAGCAACAGTAGAGAGACGCTTGGCTGAACGGTAACCAGATGCTGGATCGCACGTGGTATTCGCTCGAGTGAACGGTGGTCGCTCCATCATTCGTATTGCGTCAAGTGGGCCAGTTCGTATCAATTAGGACGCCTACACAAACTTCCGAATGCGCAGTACCGCCTTATGGATATGGATTGCGACAACTTCAGCCTTGCACTATACTCTGCTACCCGTTCCTCGTGAGACCTTGAGCCAACCTGACGGTAAATGCCTCCATACAGTCTGCACGATTTCCCGTGTTCAGCGTGTTAAAACCGAAATGGTAAATGTCCCTGCCAATCCCTTGGCCAGCTGAGAAGGGATACGTTCGGATGCCTGCTATTACGGCTTTCTCGTTGTTGTGCTGTTGTAGCTTGTTCCACAGGAGCAAGCGAATTCGTATTATAGTAGGACTCGAGGTAACTCAGAGGTAAAGTTGCAAACTTGCTGATCTCAAGGTCCGCCGACATCTCGACTGCTCCCATGTAGGGTTGGGCAAATTGGTAGTATCTGAGCCTTCGGGTTTCATGACGAGTAGACAACCCGAAAAGGGGTTGCATCTGGACGATTTGTTTTACGATTTGTTTTTTTTTTATATTTTATAGAGAGAATACCTAACAAAAAGGAGATGATTTCAGCTGGGGGGTGACGGAATTCTACAGCTTCAGTCGACTATATGGTCATTCTGTAGAAATTCATTCGCCTTGCAATCGCATTGGAGCCACTTAGCACTAAAACTGAACGCGATCAGAAAGGAAGCAAGTTAATTACTTTGTGTAGCTTGAATATTCCCTTTCAGTATCGAAAGAGAGAACAACTGATGCACATGCTTTTGGGACAAGATTCCTCTGGTCAAATAAGGAAAACTTTTAAAAAAAATCTATAAAATAGCCCAATTGACTATCCATCACTAAGCAACTGGAATCCAGTCATCAGCAGGGTACTCCATTCTATTTCGCCCGTGCCTGTGACTAGAACTGTTTAACCTGAAGTAAATTTTCCGAAAATCACCACTCCATTTGAATGCGGATAACTATTTCAGATAAGCACTCTATTCCACGGGCACATTCTTCGCACTCTATGGATTCAAGCTGTGACAATGGATCGGAAAACGTTCTCTGGGCCTTGAGCCTCTTGCTCAGTCCATAAACGATCGGGTTCTCTTATGACCACGTTTGTCTCATGTGGAGGGACCACCGATCAATAGACACTTGGTGGCCACGGTGGCTCGCTTTCGTCTGGGCATAGGGATCGTGGAATGCAAAATTGGATCCGAAACTCGATTATCTCCAGCCAAAATCTTACACCTTAAATGTTGTACCCAATGTTCCGAATCAGCTCATTAGTTAGTGAAGTCAACACGCTACTTTCTTGATAACTCTTGATAACAGCTGTAGCTTCCTTTCGGTGCTATACTATCCCAGCAGAAGGAAGCACGAGGGCTGAGATATTGTCAAGTTCCCCAAGCCTAGACAGGAAAAGTCGATATACCGGGGTTTGGGTTTGAACCGCGAACCTTAACCACTGAGTCATCTAGTGTAGTGTGTAACAGAACCGTATGACTCATAACTGGGACCCAGTTGTCACGCCCTAAACGTCGGTTATATTAAAAATTCTTTGTCATTGTTCATGAAATCGTACTCTATTGAACGAAGTGTTGCTAACTCAAGCTGTATAAATCGCCGGTGTTCTTTAGCCGAGCTTGGCAATTTTGTTGCAACGACGCACTCATAGTGTCACCTCGACTGGTTACAACGTTTGCAACCGAATTACCAAGGTTAACGGACAGAATACTGGTCATCGTGCCCTTGGGAATAGTCATGAAGACAGCGAACAAGCGAATACCGGTAAACGGACAAGGCACACTTCGAACCCATATGTGAACAAGGGCCACCCCAGATTACCAACCCAAAATATAGATACAGGGGTTCATCCCAAGGAGTAGCGTGGTAGAACCGGGCAGAATCGTCCACTTCCTAGAGCTGCTCGGTCCTTAGTGTGTAATAGTAAGCCTATCCGGTTGTTTCGGTCTTCCGTGGGGCACTCATAGGAGGAACAAGAATTTGACTGCAATTCACCTGTCAAGGAACGGTACTTGCGAAGTCCGCTTTATCCATTTTGTGAACGCTAAGGATTTAGTAAAACCACTGCGCCCGCGTTGTCATGATCACTTGAGAGAAGCGATCTTGATGATTTATTTAACCCCATTGGTGTTTGTTGCACCGTTTTTCGTCAATGAAACTTGCCCTCAAGTTTCTAATGTGTTTTATGCAGAGCTTATTCACAAAAGGAAATCCCTAATTCTTCGAGAAGTGAGTGAAGATGGCCTCTTCGCGACCCGCTGTCACCATACTGAACGTTCGTTACGAAAGACTTTTTGTGCTGATATCTTACACAACACAATTTCTCTGCTCGTATTTTAGATCGCCAAAAAACTCTGCCGGTGAAGATTCATTGCGTCAGCAGCTTCATGCGTGAAGCAAACTATGATAACGGTAATACCTCAGCTCACTCCTCCGTCTGAACTTTCCAAGCTAGCGTTCTCGCCAAAAGAACTGCTAACTGCGCACTACTTGTATTAAATTCCAAAAAAATCGGGCCAAAAACATATGTACAGCGCGCTGTATTTAAAGTGTACGAGGCAACAACATTCTCGAAATTCCGACGCATTCTGGACGCGGCATTGGCAACCCACATTTGGTGGATACTGGATTATAATTGGCTGTTGGGTCCACGCTTTTGGTCAATTGGAGCTCGCTTTGATGCTGGACCGGCCAGCGGATCGGGTGCGGAATAGACTTTTTGGCTGTAACAGTGCCTAGGTGCGAGCGGTAAAACGGTTTCCGTGCAGGATTCCACCCAACACCAGCGCAAATGAAAACCATTCTGCCGGACTGTTTTAAGGGCTCACACTACCCGTGCGGTTGTCAACCGGCCTCTCAGCCGTTAATGCTCTTATTAAGACCTCCCTCGCCTCACATTTAGCACCGGTTTGTGCGAAAGGTGGCAATGAATCCTTTTGGAAACTCGTTGTTCGGGACTCCACTTCTCGCACTCTTGGTGTTGTCATGATTGTCTCAGTTGTCCTTGACGAGGCATCTGAAAAGGATATACAAACCTTACTGCGGATGAACGGCGTGAATCGATTACTTTTCCCCCATTCACGGCACTTTCACCAGCTAATTACACTTTTAAGATCCGTTTCGCCCAAAAAAGGAGAATCCCAATTAATCCAGCCGCATAGCATTCCAGTTCATATCAACACTGGCATATCAGTATGTTTCCTGTTTTTGAACTCTATATCTGCAGAGTTTTCCCATCACAGGCAGTTGGCACCCTTCTAAATGGACCACCCCTCTAGTGACTTCTAGGAGGTTTTTAACAGTGACAACTTTCGCATGCACATGTTTAACCGAAATAGGCTCGCCAGCCTACACACTGCATACCACCAGAAAAGTGTCAATGAATCGGTTAGTTAGGTTTCCTTCATTTCCAGTCCACATCTGACGAGGTCTGTTGAGATATCTAAGCAACACCTACCCAAACCTACTCCCATACTACGAGACGAAGGTTCCAGTAGTAATCTTCCTGGCATTCCATTACCCTGTAAATTGCGCGCCAATGGTGATCTTTCTAGGCGAAACTGCGATGTCTCATTGGAACCTGACGCACTTGGTTGATAAGACCAGCACCATGGCGTAAAAAAACTGGTGTCGGTGCTTATCGTTACGCCAGTACCCTCAGACCGACAGATGACTCTCAACAGGTGCTTGTGTGCATGCTTGTATACCTTATTCCATTGAGTCTACGTCGGCTTGCACGTAGCAACACCACGTTCGGCTCTGTATAAACCATTTATGTTCTCATGCGCGCAAATGCAGGGCCAATTTCTGTTGGCTGACGAATCCCTTTCAGTTGTCAGTCAATCACGTATTTTATGTCGTCATCAATATGTCGGCTTTTGCTGGTTATCTTGTGTTGGTGAACAGTTTGTCTACCGATGTTGTCAGTTAAAAAAGTACAACTTCCCATCTTAGTCGTGCTCTCGTGCTTGTTTCCGACTCTAGTACACGGTTTGTTTTCAAATGTACTATCCACAATCTCTAATTCACAGCCCTCAACGGGTGTTTCTTACACTGCCGTACCGGAAACAATGTACCCTAGTCACATGACCTGCACGAGTCAGTATCCTCAGGCCACCACTCAGCCACTGAGCTCAGCTCAGTACCCACCTCCAGCCTACTACTCAGCGACACAACATCCAGTGGACGCGAATCCCACGTCTTCCCGACACCAGCAGCAACAGCAACATTATGCAGTGAGCGATGTCTTTCCAGGTATGTCATTTTGATCCTTCGTATTTTCGGGAAGAGAAGATGGTCCTAGTTTTCGAAATTATTGACTCGACTTATAGGAAAGACGTTTATTCCCTTACTTCGTGTATATGAGCACTCCGTATATTTACTTGGGTGGAATAGCTACGTCCATAAACAAAGCAATTGCTGTGGTCGCTTTCCCGCACTGTCCGAATTACTGGAACAACCAACAGTACCGGTGAATGTATTTTGGTCGATCGCATTGTGTGTGAGCCGTAAGCACTCAACCTGCTTTGCAGGAATCATTCGACACGCTGTTCACGCGGCTTTCAGATAATCTTTCATTGGTTGCCTTGACTACGGGTTCCTCGAACACGCTATGTTGCCAGTCCGTTTACTCCGATAGTCAATCTGTTACAACAATGTCCGGTTTTAGGTAAACGTGTTGATCACAGAATGTCGTCATGACGACTTATACATAGTGATGGATCTTCCAGCCTATAAGTAAGCATTCATTAACCAAAAGGACAGGACCCCCACTACCTGTCCAAAACTGACATCAGTTAGTTCTTATTGCTCATGGTTTACTAGCCAGCACTGTTTACCAGGGCTTCAAAGCAGTGCATCTGGTTTCCGTGTTTCTGATCATGTAACACTCAGCCATTCGTCCGCTGTTGATGCGCTTTTTTGTATTACCTGTGTGTTTTAGATTCCACTGTTGACGATGGGTGATTGGCCTGCAACGTTATGAATAAAACTGTCTTTTGTGGGGCCGTGTCAAGAAACGATGCAATTATGGCTGGTTTCAGTCACTTTTTGTGTATTTTTGTTTCGGTTATCGGCTCTTCACACCAATATTTTCCACCCGATCAGCTAGTGCTCTCGTTCGCTTGCTATGGTAGGTCCCCAGCGGTCATTGCTTCGAGACTTTCGCGTTTTCACTTGGTTCAGTCTGTCCGGCACTGTGAGTGTGCTATTTGAAACAGCGAATTGTGCAATTTCCGGTATGGTGATGCTGATACTTGGTGTGGTTTTTGTGATTGATGGTGAGTGGTGCTATGCCCGCCTAAGTAAGAGCAAATCACACTGCTGATCAGCCGCTCCTGGCCTAACGGCCGGAAGGTCACGGGTTCGAAACTCTTTGAGTTTTGTGAGATGCACACTACTGGTGGTTCCCAACAAAGATGAAACAGCCGTACAGTGCTTGTCGGCTTTTTAGCATTGATTGTCTTCGCTGGCAGGTCGAAACCCCCAGTGAAAAATCCCGGAGTTCTGACTACAGTGTGTGCTATCGAATGACAGTGATTGAACCCTACCTCTTTGCAGGGCAACACTTGAACACTAAAAGTCCAGCGACTCAATCGACCAGATACCAAACAATACTGGTGACATCAGGTGATCGAATCTCGGGATAATCCCGGTATTGCTGGCTTGCCATCTGTTAGGAGTCAGTTGCGGCACTTCAGCAATCTCATAATGGGATCGATTCCTGTCCGTTAACATCCATGGTAATGACGATTACTGTGCTTAGGACTTAACCAACGTCTCATGGATCGTGACGTCGTATCGTCCACCCTGTTCCACCCTGGTAAGGCGATAATCTACAGGTGATGTTGCAAGTCGATCACTGTAGGCGCGTATGATGCTGACTGTTTCATACAAAGTCGGGTTAAACAAAACTATCCAACGCGTCCATGAAGAATAATCCTCCGCAGTTGATTATGCCACCACTAAGAGGCCGAAGTAATGCTATGTGGAACAAAGAAAAGTCATAACAGGCTGGATTTCGGGCATGAGCGTATACTTGCCCCCATGCCCATGTTCTCTGATGTGGCCGTCCGCGGTTCTGTCGCAGTATCGTTACAGCATCTATACGGCCATCGATTTTGTTCGTTTTTTTTTCGGATTATGCGTCTAAGCACTGAAGCGTCGCCGAACAAGGCGATGGACTGCGCTACCTCCTTGATAAACGACAAGGACAGGAGCGGAATTACGAAGAGAGACGTGAAAACGGAGTTCTTGGAAAGGTTGAAAGCTGCTGAGATCGACAACCCCTAGTGAAGGATGCTGGCGGAATTGGTGTTCGGGTTAGTGGTGGTTTGTGTCCAGTAGTCGCACAGTCTGAGGAGTAGGACGAAGGGAAATGCAAACTGGGGTCTTCCACAAAGGCAAGTACCGAAGAATCAACGGTAGACAAGAGGTCGCTCACATAAGGAAGAAAAAATATGTTGGAGAGCATAGATATAGGGCTGAGTTTCTGAGTTTAAAGAATGACATCATTCATTCTTACTTGCAACATACCACCCGCGGCGCGCTTGCACCTGAACTAATATTAGCTGTCTTCACGATCGCGAAAGAATTGTTTGGTGAAAATTATTCCGAGGACTTTGGACAGAATGGGGGTGGTGAAGACTGGCCGGTAGCTATTCGGGTCAGAGATGGAACCCCGATGGGAAAATATTGGTGGACGAGGCTAGACGAAAAAGACTTCAAATGATTTAGGCGAGTTCAAAGTCAAAAACGAGGAGATACCATCCGGGCCAAGTGGTTTAGAATTGGTGACTTCTAGTGGGACATCGTAGTCACGCTTCGCGATGGTAATCGGCAAAAGTGAATGAGTTTTAGAAGCTGTGTTAGCGGCTACAGGGAGAAAGTGAAGCTTCTAGAGGCAATAGGCTAACCGGAGATATGCTTTTTCTAATGAGGGAGATGTGGCACTTCCAAGTATGTTATGTATGGGGAGAATGCGGAGGAACAGAACTTATGACGGACTGCCTTGACCAGACTCCAAAAGGAACGAATTGCGGTTGGCGCTTTCGAAGCCGGGCTGCTTTTTCCGCGATGAATTTAACCTTGACTCTTTCAGTCACAGCTGAGCAAGTGTTACGTGCAGCAACGTAGCCAGCGTTTGCCGATAAACAGGGAGGCACCGGCTAGTGTTTGTGTAGTCTGTTTTTCTTCCACTACCCACGGATACGCATGGTTAAAACATTTTTTGGGGAAGGGGGTTGCTTTCCTGGTTTGAAAAAATGGCTCCTGCGATCGGGGAGCACAGCCGTAAGTTCTTAGGAAAAACTGAACTGTCCTCCGAAAGGCAACACTTTCAAGATTAATGGACGTGTACCATCCCATTTAGCGTAACAGTATCGACGAGAGGTAAGTGGATCCTGGGAGAGAGCGATAAAGTGGTAAAGCAGTAATTGGAATAAGGGAAAGGCCGAAGAGGTCACAACATAATCTTTCGAGTGGGTCGCTAAAAAGATATCCATATTTTGGATAGTGCTACTCTTGTGATCAGCAATGCTGGTTGCAAAGCAGACCAGCTGAGGGGAAAAACGGCCACAGCCCTGAATATCTGTGTGGGAACCATTCCTTATTGTGGACATTGAACTCGCCGAAAATGCAAACTTGCGCAGCTGCATCAGACTGAAAATGTTTGTTCACAGTTAACGTTCAACAGACTGCAAAGAGACGATGCATCGTTACCTATTCGCGGTCGATATGTGCGGAGGAAGTTCAGTCTAATCTAATTTAGTTGAATATCAGGAGTATGAGTCCAGGGCAGGAAGTTGGGAAAGAAGTAAGGATGACTATGTTCAGGTACACACCACTCTTAAAACGGAAAAACGTACTGTTCGAAAATCGTTTGTGGGTGAAGTCGTCAGTTCCGCAGATTTGATTCCCAGTGGGGAATACGACAGGTGAGTAACAAGACAGGGGTTGGTGGACCGAGTTGGCGTTGGTGTCCGCTCTGCAGTTGTTACCAAATGAGCCTTTGAGGTCGTGTGAGGGAATGGAACAATGTATATTTGTCGTATATAATTTCATGTGTGATGAGTGAAAGACCGGCATCCAGCTGAAAGGCTTGGTGTAGTGAACCACATGAGACCTTTATAATTTGGGGTGGCGGTACCCACCCGGGTGACAGCGTAAACTGTCTACCAATAGAGCTATGTAACTCCCTTCGTTTTCACACCCTCATCGGTGGCTTAGTTATCGTCCAACAAAGATCCGGATTTGTTTTAGACTGAATTCACGGTTGTAAGGCACATATCAATAAAGTTTGTTGGTACATTCACCGAGTACAGATGTTTGAATGGGGCGGTTTCAGTCCGACTTCAAACGTTTTCGGGATGACCCTGTCTAGGAAGCAAACCTGCCACCCTATCTTATGTGTCTGGGCTCTGTTCTTCAATGCTTCTGTCCTTTGATCTTCTGTTCATCCGGTTCACTTCTAACAGGACAACGTGGTGTAGAATACGACTGCCTCTTCACTTTCCGTGTTGTGCATTAACTGTCTTTTTCTCCTGTTTCTTACTTTACCTGCGTTTGCCAACACATTCAAGCCTACCTTGGTGGATACACTGGCTTCGGTGTACACCGCTACCATGTGGAGATACGTTTAGTCACGCCATATATTAGCTGTTAATGTGTTCGCCTGTGAGTGACCATCTAATAAGACGATAGCTGCTGCTTCTTTATATGAACTCCTCTAGGTCACTCGACACGATCGGTTGCGCACGCCCGATCGGAATGTCGTCTGCTTGTTTTCCTTCGTTGAACCGGACAAAACACTGAATACTGCTTGATGGCTTATGGTTGTTTTTATTCCCCTATTTGGCCTTTTTTCGCAGCCGCCTACTCTTCGCAGTATCCCGCAGGTCATACTGACCCCGCCCAACCCGGGCTCTCGTCTCGTTATCCTGGAACTGCCGAAGCTCCTCCAAATCCGTACTACTACGGATATGGTACCACGTAAGTTGCACTGGTGCAGCTTTTCCACCCCATTCTTGCCGGACGTACTGTGAATCCGTTATGGAGAGCAGCAGGGCAGATCACTGGTAAAAGAGATTTCTCTTTTGTAGAAGGTAATGCATGGCCTTTGTAACTGTGAAAACCACTGATTTACGAGGATGATATACACGCTTGTGTGACTGAGGTAATTTAGGTTGAATGCAACAACAACACCCACTAGATCCCTTCATGGTTAATAGAAGGAGTTCGAAGAGTGTTCGATGGACTATTTTCGGTCAATGTCGTTCTGGATGAGTGAATTTTATACGCACCGGCGCACAACGTACTCCTGCGCATTCGCCAACCGTACACCGAATTTGTCAGTTTGCCTGTAGATGAAACGTTTCTTCGTCAAATTTCTCAGCGTAGCGCGCAACCAAATGGCCAGACTATCATTTCACTACTCATCTTGGATAAACGCACTTATTAAGGTAAACGCCCATGGTTGAAAATTTTATCCACGGTTTCTCGATTACCCGTGTTTTGTTCTGGGCAGCCTATCGGTTTAACTGCCTCCAGTAGGGTGGATTTCGTTAACGCTTAGAGGTTCGTTAACAGAATACCGATAAAATCTAGCTACCCTCCTTTTTGGCTTCCTTGTGGTGGACAACCATGGTGAATTCAACCAAGTTTAATCGGGAATGAGTAACGTCGCACCCACCTCGATCGATTTTTCGGAGCTACTCTGTACTTTGCTGTTTCTCGCATCTATTCACCAAATAAACTAGTCCGACCACTTGCGGCGGGTGTCACTTTGTACACAGATAATAATCGGAACGGTTTTAGTTGGGAGGAGCGGTCGTCCCATGAGAGGAAGAACCAGTCGCGTGATCAAATGATCACAAGGATACGATACAGGTTTTTGATCTTTATTGGGAATCAGCATCAGTGTTCACCTCACGAAACTCGAAACATGAACTTTGCTCTGTTGTTTCTTGAGAAGAGGAGATTATGTAGACAGCTGGTGTATCGTTTTCGAACATTCGGTCACTTGACCCGGACTACCTTAACTGACCTTGTTGTGCAGTGGGTGTTGTACAATCGATTTAAGCCTACGCTCGATCTCAGTCTGTTGAACGTACACAGCTTAATTGCTATTAAGCTCCACGTTCTTTATCGAGCAGGCCATGATCGATTCCTAGTCAATGCATTTTTCGATCGTGAACGGTGTTAGCAGGCTGCAACTATCACGAAAACGGAAGACTCAAGAGGGAATGAAATGAGGAAGCATTTAGTAAATTTTCCATTAACTTTCTGACTCCCTTCAGCTGCCATATAAACGAATCCTCAACAACAGGAGTACCGGAACGCCTCACTCCGTATTCGTACCAGACTAGTTTTTGTACGTGTAACCAACAGATACACGCCATCGAAACAATCAGGTTTTCAGTGTTTGAAAAATCGTTCATCTGTGGCACCCTTTCGGCGCCCGGCTGCCTTGCCACCCGAAAGAAGCACGAGGACTTAGATACTGCAAGCTTACCCAAGCCTAGACAGAATCAGTCGGGATGCACATGTTGGATTCGAGCCGTGGAGCTTCCTGTCGCTCCTTAACTAATGAGCCATCTCGGGTGTTTGAAGGAACCTGAACTCTACTTGACCACCACTCTGATCCAATTATCTTGGTGGTAACTAGGCTCGATACACCTATCTTCATTTGATCAAGCATCTAATTTGAGCGCAAATTTTACGCTCGAATAAACCCTCCCATTTTGCCTGCAAAAGCGAAGCAATTGGCCTGGCATGCTTGCAGGGAAATCAGGGAAAACCCCATCGTCTTTTCGTTACTTTATTTAGGTGGAACCAGGAAGTTGTTAAACCGGCTCCCTTGGGGTATCTTTTCGGTTCTCTAATCATAGGCTCAAAAATATGGGTTCTATGACAATTAGAGCTACGTGGAACCCCTATCGATGTCAAAAGACAAGCTATCTTGAAAAGCCCGTTTCTGGTTTTGTTCTTTCACTGCTGCTGCCTATTTAGTTTATCCTACCGCTGTCACTGGGTTGCTACGTTACCGTCTCCGAATTTGCACTTTGACTTAATACAAGCCAGTGAATAGGTTAGTTTGAGGGGCAGCACCATTGGCTTAAGGCTTGCCATCATATTCTACGTAATGCCATTATGTCCGAGTAACTTTAACCGAATACATACGTTTCTTCGGGTGTACACCACACGCAGTGGGTGGTATGCACTAACGAACCAAACCTTTAACTGGATTCTTGAAATATGGCAGATCGATTTCAGTAGCGTTCTTGCTGTCAGTTTCCTTCCATATTGTCTGACCGAGATCTTGGTGGTATATGCCCCCCCCCCTTTCTCACCCACTTTTTTCTCGTCTTTTCATTCTGAGGCTTTAAATATAATTACATAAACTTTTGGTTGTGATGTCAAAACTGATTTTGCTCTCTCCCTCCTCTGATGGCGATGTTATGAAGTTTGGTGTAAAGGGCCTGTATAGATAGGCGTTCCTCAGCCGTATGTTGTACAAGTTCCAGACGACGTCATGGCGCACTTCTAACTGATTACTCATTAGGTTTTTTAGGTGTGGTCCCCACTCAATCCAGTTGTTGACGTTTGCAGACACTGACTGTTGACCTGCTCGAATCCCGAGAAGCTCAGCTGTGCCAATGCTTTTGTCCCCAATGAAATTCATCAAGTGGACGCAATGACCTCAAGGCTGAGTCCCTCCCCCATCCACCTTTATTCTTTTCTTTACAATAAGGCTTTCAAATAAGTCATGGCTGTACGGCAGTGAAGCATTGGTGTTGAGCACTGATGTCATGCTGTCGTTGATGATGATGATGATGATGATGATGTTGATGATTCAAGTGCTTTGGCCAGTCGGACGAAATACTTCGACCGTACACTGGTAATCAAGTGATTTCCAACAGCTAATTAGACCATGAACCACACCGTGCCGGGTCGGTGGAGGGGCACATGCCTAATCTCCCTGTGCTGCTTTAATTGCGGTACTACCACAGATGGAAACGCTTTGCATCTGAGCTTTTCTGGACCCGATCGCTCCTTTTCTAAGACTTCAGTGAGATGGCTCAGTAGTTTGAAAGCAAATTTACTGATCGGAAAGTTCGAACCCAACCTCTGCATCTCGAATTCCCCTGTCTAGGCTTGGGCAACCGAAAAGGTGCTACAGCCGAACGATTATCTTATCTTTTTTTATTATTATCTTTATTGGCGAGGTACCGTGGTTGTACGTGAACAACCACAAATAGGTGTAAGCAGTCACCCTTCTACACAAAGCTGTCACAGTTCGTATTGCTGGAACACATTCAGCCGCATTTTATATCTTGCTAATACCCCTCCATCATCTGCTGATGTTAGAGGGTAGTAGAACGGGACTTTTCGGTTCTAATACTTCCATCGTCAGTACTGCTACCGCCCTAAGTGATACACCTACGGTGTGCGGTGGCCTTTACGGACAAAAAGTGCCTTAAATTTGTTTATTAAATCGAGTCACTACATCCTGGATGACGTTCCTATCTGGGTTACTGCTTCATTCACCTAACAGTGTCGTAAGTGTTTAACATTCTTTCCGAACATTCGATTTCAGTGAATAGGCGAAGTGAGACCAAAGATCACCGGCTAGGTAAGCTTGCTGAGTTCACGCCAGCATTCAACTACCATTTAGAAACGTCCTACTTCTGCCAGATCTACAGCACGGTTGCCAGTATCATCAGCGATCCTTTCTTCGACTTTCGTGGTCGAACTTATTTCCGATGGAAAACGAAGTCTTAACGGAAGCAGCATATATGTATCCAACTGAAATCCTTTAGGACCAGGCTACACTCGAAATACATACGTCTATTCAGTTTTGTTACACGGATTAAGCCTAACATCTCATTGCGTTTTATCCGATCGAGTTCATATCTCACTTGGCATTCTGTAGTTCCCATAGTTCATACTTGGAATGGACAGAAGTCGCAGTACAGTACTGTCCATCAGAAGCCACTACAGGTAAGAGCTATCGTGTTGTTGGACGGCTATTCACACACAACGCGATCCTTTCCTATACGACTGGCTTTGCTTGGGTTTTTCCAGGTCTTAATGGAGGCGAGCGCTGTTCTTGACCCGTCCTCTGTTGTGCATTGCACACTAGATCGTGGGAGAATGCTCTCCATGGGGCTATTACCTGTGATAGTCTTCCGACTGAAACACGCTATAAGCTATCCGAAGAAATATGCAACTTTGGTAGAGCATTCTGATCGGGTGGCTCTAGCCGATTACTGAATGGTCTGCTCCACTGAGAAATTAGGAATAAAGGCAAGAGAGAACAACTTGAGGTAAAGTTAACGGTAAGGGAAGACAGAAGACTGGAATGCTGTGGTTTTAACCAGCCCTCTAACCACTGGTGAATAGTAGGAACGTTTTGTCTAACTTCTTGTCTATCGATGTGGTGGGTCTGATAATTACCAAACAGTAGTCTTAAATTTTGATTGGATATTTCACTGTAGACACACTTGGATCTCGTATTTTCTTAGGTCCTACGTGCTGTCGATTTCTGTAGACACTAAAATCCCTTAGCTTGTTGATATTCGAGTTCACATACAATTGGAACTGCGGACTCACTCTTCGGAGATGAAACGAAAGCCTCATTGTTCGGTCGCACATATGTCCTTTTCATGGTACGAACATGTTATTCTGTCATCTGTTTATTCCTCTCAGATTTCAACGTCGTTTTCTTGCGTTTCTTTTAACCCACGAGTGCCTTTTTCTGGTTGCGCTAAGTTAACAAAATATAGCTGTGAAGGACGCTCGTCCAAATGAGCCACAAGCTTTTGTTCCTCTGACAGTTCATATCACAATGTGACAATCAAAGCTTCTTGAAGGATGTAGCACGGAAATTTGTGACGCACCTCAACCGAGTCAGAAGACTATGCGGCTTCAGTTTAGCCGTGACTTCTGGTTGCCCTTGTGTAGACTGGACATTAGCTCAGGTGTTTTTCTTCCCTTGAGTTGCATGACAGCTCCGAGCCGAAAGCATTCAATAGCTGGGCGCCGTTTTCAAGCCATAACTATCAAATATCGTGGTAATCTCGTTTCGCCATTTATCTTCAAAATTTTAGAGCCGACGGAACGCACATGGACCCCAGTCGTCAAAACAATAGCGCTGCAATGGTCGCTCCAACCGAAAATCCAATGGGATAACAATCGGTTGAAGCGAATTGCCTGTCTCCACATCGGCGCCTGTTCACAAGCGCGCCATTCCTTCGCCATCGATCAAGCACAGTCCGTCTGCTCCTCTTCACATTCTCATCCTGTTTACGCGCATTCGCTCCCTACTTCCGCCAATTGTCTAGATTCTCCCTCACTCCATTGTCCGTACACTTTCATCACTCTCCACACCGCCGTTCATCCACCGTGTAGTTGATGTTAAGAGCGTCTTTCACCGATTACTCACTGCTTACATTTCAACTTCTTTTTTGCTAATCTCATGCGTGAACGTTGCCGTTTTTTGATTGATTTCTTCCTCTCTTCCTCAGTTGCGATCCGTCGATTGGCTAATCTCTCCCCATCTGTTTCTAAGTACCACACACGGACCCAGAAAGACCGTTCAGAAGCACAACAGATTTCAATGTCCAACGAATTTGCTAAATCATTGTGCTTCATTTTCCATCGAGTATGATTATCAGGTCAGGTCAGTCCAGGCTTGGTTAACCGACTTGTCTAGGTTCTCGTCTGGAGTTAATTTCAATTTCTAATAATCCTGCTATCGTCAACGGTCTTCTGTTTGTCTTTGTCGGAATGGGTTATGAGTCTTATCTTCAACTGTTTGCATTCTCCCTTTCAACACGTCTGTCGGTATGGTTGACTCTTGAGGACTACGTCTTAAGTCGAATACTTGTGTGCCATATCCGTGAAGTTTGTGTACTGTTAGTACTGTGTCATTTCGATGTCTTTTGGCAGGCTATCCTACGGTGTGCGAGCTGCCCTACCTCCTTCAAGTTATTTTGCTGAAGTTCCGTTCTCCATTTAACAATTCAACCCTGTCTGGGTAAATTCCGGATGAAAACGCCGTCAGGTCAGGTTCTCTGCGTTATCGGTTTATACTTTAGGGTGAAGCAAACCAATACGCAAAGGCGCGGACATGATAACTCTCCCAACCTTCTTCGAAATCACCAATACCGTGCGTCTCATTGGGTCCTAGGAACGTTCGAAACCGCAGCGCTCCGCATGAGTTTTTATGACTACCATTAATCTGTGAATACTCGTACTCAAGCAGAACACCTCACCTCATCCTCCTTGATATTTTGTTAACTGGCACATTGGATGAGGAGTTTGAGGTATCGTTGGATTCGGAAGTACCTCTACACATGGGCCACCTATCGGATACAGGCGTAGCAATCTGAGCTATTGAATTCCACCACTGCAATGACCTCTACCTATAAGCGAACGGTTGTTTCCTTTCGAAATATACCTTAGAATGATTTCGTTGCTCGGAAGTCGGGGAGGAATACTGCATAAATCGCATTCTCGAACGCTAAGGTTCAGTGTAGCTGACTGCACTCGCGTCGTTGTCCTGTCTCAGAATTAACATATAATGAGCGGCAAAACAGCGCTCGTTTTGCTTTAAAAGATTATTTCGATTGGTCCGCACAAAAGCGGGGAATCACGGATTCGAAGTTTCGCTCGAACGTCTCGCCATGTCTGGTGTTTTAGCCCTGGACTCCTGACATATTGGGTGAGTGTGTTCGCACTAATCCATCAACATGTGACGAGTGGGTCAGAACGGGTGAGCTTATTTTTCGGCACGGCAAATCCCCTAAAATTGGAGTTACAAAGGTTTAGAGGGGATGGTAGACTAAGTTTTCGGAAAACTACGGTTATTAGTCCGACTCATCTGATTTTTCAAACATCAAACACTACTTGTTTTTTTTAATTGTTTGCGGAATTTTGTCCGTATGTGAGACGTTTCAACATTTTTGAAGCTAATCCGTGCAGTTCTACACAGATACTAAGGCAAGATATCACGGTAACCACCGATCGCACAATGTGCTCGTACAACCAAATTCTATCTCCGTTCCCGCTACACCCGTCTCTGGACTGTACGTGCACATACACGAGGCCTAGTTGACTAGTCCGATTGCTTGAAGTTGTGGCGATATCGCTGATCGTGAAGTACATACTACGTGCAATATGGGCCCTGACATTATGAGTGAAACGTGGCGAAGAACTAACATTGACAGCATAACACCAGTGTTCTACACATACTTTACTGTCTCAACCATAATCTATATGAAAGCCTTGTGGACGGGGAAGGGGCTTGGCGCTATCCCGTGCCTACACCTTCAGCCACTCATTCGGGCGACTTGGATTCGTTATAGATATGATGATAGTACTTGGAGTGGGGTACTGCCAGGTTGCCCAGACCTAGACAGCAGGACGATTGAGGTCATCCACTAGCGCCTGACCGCAAGGCAGTGGTGTGGGGCGAGAAACGCCAATGCGTTGCCATTTTTAGAGGACACGCTCTATCCCCCAACCTGGAGGGCCAAGGGGCTTTGTTGATTGGACCTCTAACTGCTAACCAACCTTGTATGGCACTCCGCGAATGGTACACGAGTACCCCACAGTGCAGTTCAGTTAGTCACGGAGGCACACAAATAAGGGATTTTGTTAATTGGACCTCTGACTGCTAACCAACCTTGTATGGTACTCCGCGAATGGTACACGGGCACCCCACAGTGCAGTTTGGTTAGCCACGGAGGCACACAAACCGGCACACACCACGGTTACATTCAACTCTTCATCAACTANCTGCAAACTCTGTACAATTAGTACATCACGTCTCGGTAGTTTTACGAATGGGACATCTGTAAGTCAGTTTCTAATAACAAACGGGAACCCTCTGCCTTCATTATGTACCTGTTAAAATAATGAACTGGTCACTCATGTATTGACATTTGCGCCGAAGTCAGCTGCTTCTACACCGAAATAGACTGAAGGCCTCCCCGGGAGTACTTTTCCGAAGTATTTCCTGGAACCACCCAGGAGATTAGCCAGTGTCCCATCGGCAGATCTCTCTCAAAATTAGAAAGTGTATTGTGTTCTTATTAGGATCTGACCTTTACACAAACTGTTTTCATAAAACAGTAACCTGGGAAAAACTGATTAACTGTAGTAGCCGAATGCCACACTGTTTACAGCTGCGTTCAGAATACAGCTGCTGCAAGCAGCTACTTGCGAGTAGTCTTCGCAGATTTGGAATTTTTCCACCCAGTCAGTAATACTTTGTGGGAAAAACATCTTCCCAGAATTGACTGAAGAGGCAGCATATCCAGAAACAGGCTGACAGCTACGGCCTTAGACAGTGTTATTTTGGCTTCCAGTTTCCTAGGAATTCGAAGATGGTAGTGGTCTAGACAGTTCGTTTTTCTTTCGCACCGTGAATACGCCCCCCTCCCCCCCTCATAAAAAATCTCTAGCACCATGTAAAGGGTCAGTTTTGTAATTCGTTTTTCTTGTGTAAACCTTTCGTGCCAGCAGAAACTTCACCAATCGGAGTGCAAAAACACCCCATATCTGTGAGGTACCACTGGATTAAAAACAGGAACACCACCGTATGGGTGCTTCGCGGTTTCATGCGCTGTCTTGACTTCATTTAGTTAGCTAGATCATGCGAATAATCAGCTATACTCACCTGAAACAAAGCAACCGGCAATTTGTTTAGCTTGAGTTGCGAAGTAAACAATCGTTCAGGACTCAAGTATTCTCCGCGAAATGGTAAAAACTGATGGATCTGGCAGGCTGCAGAGGAATGAACCCAACAGCCGGGTTGCCATGGTCACTGCAGAACAATGCAACCGTTAACCTAGCCCTTATATGAAGTTAGCCATACGAGCTCAAGTGCCTGATCGATCCACTCAGCCTATGTCCTCCTTCCTCGAATTGCCAACTAGCCGAATCGTTTGTCTTAAAACTTGCTCTTCTTCAGGAGCAGGAACAAAGCCATATGTTTGTCGATATACTGCCTGAATTTGTAAATACATACCTTCGAGTCTCTTAAGCAACTCTTTGTTGAGCCTAGTTGGCTGTTGACTTGTTTGTCGAACTAGGCTGATTTGCAAAAATTTCTTCGTTGTCCGAAGGAACGGTGAATGGATCAGCGCAGCACCCAACAACGCAATCGAATGGAGAACGAAATGTCTGGGTGAACGAACTAACCGATGAGTCCTTGTTACCAATATTACCACTGACGCTATTCAGGTAGGTTAGGTCAAAACCCTGAAGTCTGTCGATAAATCTACCGGATTTCATCGTGCCAGCAACATCTTTCGTAGTGAGTTAACATTGAAAGTGGAGTTCGCATGCATGTTTCCAAATGAAGAGAATATTGGTAGCTCAAGCTGTAATGATGGCCGTTGATCTGTTCGCCGACCTGTGCAGTCTTGCTGCACTAATAATGCACTGATGACGCCACTACGACCGGTAATGAAGTGCTCGCAACCAAAATTCCCAGTTCGACGAACAAACCGACGGCCACAGGTTTCACTCGACGTCTTTTTGGGGTTATCCCAATCCAATGGATAGTTCAACCAGCAGAGCCTGCTCCCCATTCGACCCACGAAGTTTGGGAATTTCAGAGATCTAGGGCGATGGCTTTCTGTCGACTGGAACTTCTTCTGATACCAGGTCGTCAGAACAACGGCAATGGAGATGTTTGACTGGGAAGTTTGGAAATTTGTTCAGCTTGACCTTTTTACCGTCACATGACACAAGTTTCCGGCAGCCATTCGACATTGAATCGAATACAATCGCATAAGCATCTGTCTCTGAGTGGCTTTCACTTAGTTATTCTCTTGTCCGTTAGAATCAGCTGGAGACAGAAAGGTAGGCTGTCAGTTTCACGTCCACACCTCGTTTGTGAAAATGATCGTCGGCTTACGACCGTGTACAGAAATCGATTCACTTCGTTCCTAAGGAATATCGGTTCATTACTTTACAGCTGTGGGCCTTTAGTGGATAACAGGCAGTATTGCTTGATGTCCCTTGCAAGATTCACTGGATTTGCAGTATACCAGCTGTTGATCGGCTCTACTGCACCTGTATTCCGTCGACGTTTTTACTGTTCTAAACTGCGTTATTGGCTAAATCAAATGGGTTTGGCTGATTGGATAACCAGAGCCCCGTTGACTGGCTGAAGTGCTGCAATTGTCCGATAATTTTGTCAGCTTGTGGGGCTCATTTTCAGTGATGCCTAGTAACCGCATAAGTTATGTGAATATATTCCATAACCACCAAGGCAATTGTCACGATTACTCGGGTAAGTAAAGTTGCTCAAAACCGTGTGACAGCTGAATGATCCGAAGTCCCCAGCGTTGGAAGGCCCAGATGCTGATTGTAATCATGAATCGCGCAAGTTATCCCGCGAGAAAAATGCATGAACACGTGGATTTAGGTCGAATTGGCTGAGGTGATTTGTCCAACTGATTAAGGATATGACGCGCCGACTGACACTTCGTTCATTAGTACATAAACCAAAACAACACTATCTGACCCACGTGCCGATGCAGACAATAATAATAACCGTTCAGCTGTAACACCCTTTCGGTGCCGAGCTGTCATGCCACCCGAAAGAAGCACAAAGGCTGGGATACTGCCCGATTGCCCTAGAGAAGACAGGTCGAGATGCAGAGATCGGGTTCGAACTTTCTGGTCAGTATATTCGTGCTCTAACCACTGAACCGACGCAGAACACGTTGCCAGGGGTGACCGCACTAATTAATTGGAAGTTATCTCTATCACTCCCATGACCCGGAGAATAAATATTCGCTTAATAGCTACACCAACACCCTCCCTACTATGCTACTAAGCTATCTGAAATTGTGTCCAACTGGAGACAAAAGAAGACGCAAGGATGGTAGCGAGGGCGCCCGAGAAGATAAAATGGTCTGGGATGCCAGTTTTAATAACTAAGTTATCCAATTAGTCGACCACATCAGCTAACAAAACTAAAACATGTTGCCGGCGGCGAGAATACAGGAAGGATTTCATGACCAAATCGAACATCCAATACGCTGTTATCTATGAGCAGGTAAGACAGAGCAATACTATTCTTGCGTTGGTTGCCACTTGGCAGTGCAGCTCACGAATGAGAAATCTATTATATCGCCTCACTTCTACAATCTCACAAAGCGGTTTTCTGGACAAAAAGTTAAACATATCTGTCGACGATTTGATCTCTACTACCCTCTTCGACGGTTCCCAAGATTTGACATAGCTGAAAAAAAATGGACAGCGGGCATTATGACCACCTATTGCAATCAATCAGTTCACAAGATACGTTAGTCCTTTGACATTTCTGATGTTTGATTACGGTTTCCAAAACAGTTTCGCTTGACATACACTGACTGACCAAATCCCGTGAGTTTATGACAAGCGCATTGGCCATATAAAGAGGTAATGGTTTCGATCTCAAAAGAGTCACATTTAATACACAATGATCGGATCCGTCCAAATCAAGCTGTTAGAACCTCAATTTCATCCAAAAGGCATACAGGACGTGACTTGATATCAAAGGCATCAGAGTGCTTTTTCACGATACACGATTTCCCCGAATATGATGGGAAAATGAGCGGTCCCCATTATTTCATCTGCGACCCGGAAGGTGAATTCTACCCCATACGCTTCCACCATCTGCCGTATTCGCCTTCCGGGATTATACCATTCTTTCAACCTTATATAAGTCAGATGAGTTTACACTTATGTTTTAAGGTGAACACCGCGTGCTTTAGCACTCAGAGTTATACCTCAGCGAAATTTTAATTGAATTTCCACTACTTATAATGCTACTAAAGGATGTAGCTCATTGTCACAAACCTATAAACGTCGCAACTTTTGTATGGCTTGTGAGGTGATATGTGACAATCTTGGGTATATCTGGAATACTTGTTTTCGGATCAGAAAAACTTGAAGGGATATACGGTACGGCCCGCCGCTGGAATCGACTATATCCCCAATTGAGAATAATGATATTGAATGATCTTCCATTAGTAGAGTCACAAACCATAAATGGTTGTATACGAGGAAAAACCAGAAACAACGCATTCTGATACGGCCGTAAGGTTGTGAGGCAATTTCCAGATAGTTGGAAAAACGTAGAGACCCCGCTCCACGGACTTCTCTTGATGTCAACCCTGGCTGATTGCTCGCTGACTGGCTATACTTCGAGCAAGTTGGCTGTAGACTCTGGGTACTAAATACGCATTGCCAGAGTGGGGGACAGCTGAACAATTGTTTGAGCAAATTGTATATGCTTCGGTGTATTGAGTCCACGAAACGTCTCGGATTACTCCACGTCAACCAAGCTGTCCAAAACACTGGCAAATTACAAGGATGAACATCCGGGCAGTTTCATCAGTCTCGGTGGTCTGGCGAAAGATGAAATTTCCATCCGGATTAGGAAGGCCAGAGCAGCTTTTGTGAAACTACTTCACCTGTGGCGTAGGTGTGACATCAGCCTTTGCGTCAATGGTCGAGTTTACAATGCTGCGGTGCACTCCATATCACTGTATGGATCAGAAACCTGGCCACTGAGCGCCGAGGACGTCAAAAGACTTTCAGTGTTTGACCATCGATGTCTTCGGAGCATTGCCCGAATCTGGTTGGAACACCGGGTCAGCAATTCTGAAGTACGTCGAATGGGATTTGGCAGAAATAACTCACCCTCGATAGATGAACTGATCACGCTTCATAGGTTGCGCTGGCTTGGCCACGTGTTGCGCATGCCAGTCGACCGACTTCCTCGAAGGGCTCTTTTCGCCCAACCATGTGAAGGGTGGAAGAGAGCCAGAGGCGGCCAAACAATGACTTGGCAGCGAAGTGTGAAAGCCATTACCAGCAAACTCACCTGCGCTGGTCACTGCCGGCTTCCTGGATGGGGATCCCGAGACGGGCCACATCAATGGCTAGAGACATTATCAGACATGGCCGGGTAGCGCCCTCAATGGCGCTCGTGCATCCAAGCTATTGCCTTCAATGCATAGCTCTTTTTCCACCACCACCCCCCACCTACTTGACAGCCCACTGACAGTGCTGGATTTATGCATCAATTTATCATCTCCCGCCTGCAATGCGCCGCTACCTACCTCCCCAACCAATCATCGGTGAACAAAACTGCGGCAGCTACAACCACCGTACGACGAGTACGCACCTCGCTACTGGACCATTATATGGGGAACTGGCTACCGTACGACGAGTACGCACCTCGCTACTGGACCATTATATGGAATTGGAACTGGCTTTTCTAAGGGTAGGATGTGACAACATCCACACCTTCGAGGGATTGGCAATGCCAAGCAAGTTTCGGAAAAAATCTACCTAAAAAGTGAAAGTCAGGAGTTTGGAAAGTATTAAATCTAGGGACGCATTCAGAGGCCCCACGACATGCTTAGTGAAAAGCAAGAAGTAGATGGTAATTATCACATATGTATTTCGGTAGGACAACAAGTTAACTGTGGACAAAACATTTGTCTCCGAAGGCATTGGACACTGAAGTTGGTAACCCGAAACGCTGATCATCCACAATCGGGAAGATTTGCTTCATCAAATGACGAATGAGAATCAGCATGTCAAAATCCCAAGAGTACGGTACCCTGGAGTAAAATGAGGAACATTCAGACTAGCTGGAAGTAGATCAGGAGGCGGCGCCCCTAACAAGTAGTATTTCTCTCCTATTAGGATCTTAACTAAGCGAGGCGAATACATGAGCATTGTGGAGAGAAGTGCAGTCTGATGGTTACTAGTGCCGGTTAATTTAGAGGGAGCTGTTATAGTGAGATATGTTGGACAGGTGGATTGCTTTGCCAAACTCATTCTAAAAAATGAAGCACGTATATAGAAAAGGTTGCACTATTAAGGGGAGACAAGATCCAATCTTAGCCGTATCAAAAGTTCACATATAGTGCCCAGATAGTTCTCAAGATGGTGGTTCTGTTCACCGAGGGCTGAAATTTACATCATGAGAGTGAACCCATGTAAACGGAGCGTAAAACCACTAAATCCACACCATCGTCTTATTCACTAAGAGAAAACGTTAAGTCACATGGAATAGTGAGCCATAAAGTAGGAAGACTCTGGTTAAAAACGCGAAGACGAAACCAGCCAACAGCAAAATTAGGATGTCAAATGCCTGATAACACACGGTTTGTAAAAAAGGTGAAGGACGGTCCATTGGTTGGCCGACAGGAAGGGGAATGAGGAGCGTGAGTCGACCGGATAAAGAGGAATAACATCTGGTAGCAAGGGCAGGTTTCGCAAGAGGAGTAGAATAAAGAGAGGATAAAGGTAGAAGCGGTAGGCAATGAAGAACCCCGATTGTGAATGTGCAACGATGAAGCAAGTCGGTCACCGAGTTCTACATCGCGAAACGCGAACTGGGTACAAAAAAGCGAAAGCCGTTTGCATAAGGTTCTTTGGTGTGTTCCTCAAATTTATCGAGTGTTATCTCAATGTACGAAGTCAAAAGAACAAAACAATAACTTCCAGAATAATGGTAGCAAATGCCGAGATGTTTCAGACTGCAAACAGACGTCATTTGTATTCTTTGCCAACAGTACATATCGTCTTTGATGCTCGGTTCAGTCCACCTCGGTCAATTGCGGCAATTTGTTCATTCGCTAGGCAGACCCAAAGCTGTCCTAGTGGTCGGGGTTCATTGCTGCAATGAGCCTGTGGACTGTACTAATAGCAATTCGGCTCTATGAGGTCCAGTCATCCCAGAAATGCCAACGGAGAGAAGCCCGAGGGAGAACAGCGATAAATTTTACATCGGTGCGCTCTGGAGGTAAAGTATCACTATTCTCTGCGACAGAAGCAAGCAGTATGTCCATATATGGAAGCAGCAGTGCTGCCTTGGCGTTAGAAAGATGCCTTAAAAACCGCGAACCCCGATCACCCAAAGGTTGACCGTGACCACCCGTGCGCTATTCAATACGGTCAAAATGTCCCTAAATCTAAAGTCTGGTGCTATTCAACTGCTGTGCGCAGTTGCACCAGGAGTCAGGCAGTCACGTCTTAACCCCTGCGCACTTGGACCAGGCCATCCCTTTGCTGCCAAGTGGGTCAGAGGCTACGGAAGAGTCCCCCAGCAAAACCCTACACCCTTTCACCGTCTTGAGGGTCACAATGTCCATAATGTCGCTTTTAACGTTCGCAATTTGTGTCAGGAAGACCAACAGCACTACTGATATATTTTGAGGATACATCTTGAGTTGAACATGTCAGATTAAGACCGCGGTGCAAAGCAGAAAGGATGCAACTGATACTGTGCAGCTAGTTTATGCAGAAGAAGGGATGTAAACATTTGTTTACCCATTACTACCTACATGAATACATGGGGAAGATTTTTCGGAGCCACGCAATCGGATATCATAGACTGGCACGCCACAGGATGATATTAAACTCCCAGTAGATCTGATGGAGCTCAATCAGCAAATTGACAACTGCACCGTTTTATTGGTAACACGTACGTAGACAAACATCTATCTTTCATCAGAGCTACGTATAAACTGTATATCAGGATCACGGCTTCTATAAAGACACCGCCGCTTCAGCTATCATTCAACACAGATTTGAACCGCTAACGTACAATTACAGCATGACTGTATCACACTGGAGAAAATTTCAGCCAGTTCATTGATAGAAAGTGCTGTATTGTATGCCAGACGTAAGGTTTAATGAAGACTACGCCTGGAAGATGTAGTCTCCAGTCAAAGCTTATCAAGGATGGTCCCAGCCTTCATTGGGGACCACTCAGTGGGAGGGAGGTCCTCATGAATAAATTAAGAAACCGATGTATACCTAAAAAGACGCCCAACGGAACCGCACGGGTAGTTCGCAACACTTTCCACATTTCTCCGTTACCCCGCTCCAGTATCAAAAAGTAATTAAACGACATTAGATAGCCCATAAATTTGGTATCAGTGCATCAGACACGAAACTACGTGTGATAATGGTTTTGGGTGGTGGAAAACCCTGAACGGGTGAAGATGCGAATACTTGCATACCGTCACCGATATCTAACGATATTGTCTGAATAGGCTTCTGGAGGTGTGGACATCTCGAAGTGACTGCAGCAAGCTAGCACTAAGTTACTTTCCCATCCACTTTTAGTCTTCTGTACGAAATAAGGATTTCGGATAAACTGTGGTTGTACTGCAACGAAGGATGAGTTTTGTAGACCGATGTCATGCTGTCGGCGAAGATGACAATCCTGAGAAATCGCTTTTGAAATTAGGGAAACAGGTAATTGAGTAGGCTGATATTGTGAAGTGTGGCACGTCAGCTGACATCATCAGCATCGACAGCATGACAATAGTGTTCAACTCCGATGCTTTAGTGCCGTAAAACCATGATTTATGTGGAAGCCCATTACTATAAAGAACAGCACTTGGCAACGGCCAGCACTAGATCACAAATGGACGAAAAATCCCTGAGAATGGCCTGTTAACAAAATACATTCCGATTCGATGAGCTACTTAAACAAGTACTCACTTAAACCCCATCGACAGTGTTCCTTGGTACAGATCATCCGTCGGTCGAATCCGGTTGGATTGCGCGTTCTTGACTGATATCCTGTTTCCGATGGTGTACGGAGACCACAAACGAATCCGTACCATTGTGGCGCATCAACGCCAACTGCAGGCGCTCCTCTCCATCGGACGTCGCAAATGGATGAGTGAAAGGCAAAGTGAGCAAGTAGAATAGAAATGGGACGAAGGTGAAAACAAGTACCCAAACTGTGGAAATATCCAGACTAATTAGTGAATACCCAAAACAAAATAAGCTTACAAGAAGTGTTAGTGCAAGTGCCGGTTCGGGTACACAAAACAACGATCGGATAACCACCAACGGATGACAAACGGGTAACACACTTCCGTTCGTTGTCGGAGCACAATAGTCAAATATCGCCGGGAAACGATAAACTGAGTGGATCACAGCTAGGATGAGAATGACATAAGGGTAGGAGTAGTAGAGAACACCTCCGAAAATGAAGACCACCAGACCTAGTACGGGATAGGCATAAAGGGATAAGTGAGTTACACGTAGCCACTTGGACAGATCAACAGAACCTGAAGGCGTCAGAAGAATGGCCACGTAAAAGAGCACGCAGCCAAAAATAGAAAAGGCGAAGTAGACCAGAGGTAATGAGAGATAAGGAAATACAACTTCAGATGGACACCCATAGACAATCAGAAATGGGGCGTAAAAATCCTCCAACTTCTGTGGCACACAGCTGTATAGGTTTAGGCTTCCCAGTGGTGGGAATAACAGGATACTGACAAAAGCGGATAAACAGTGAAGAGCGAAATACACCAGACCCCAGGAAAGGTATTTGCATGTACGAACAGGATTACCGCAGGAAGATTGGTCCTGTAATAGAAGAGGTGGATGGACAATGGCAGTGGACATGTTACGATTGCCAGAAGACGACTCTGGATTATTTGGGCAAGTGGAGTGTGTTACTGGCGATTGTAATGGGGACGATGGAAAGTTGAATAAGAAAGACATAGGCATCATCACTGTGAATCCCAAGTACATCCAACCGTGAAGGCTTGGTGTGATAGTGCACACTGAGCATAGGCTGTCACGGTTGTCATTGACGTCCACCCTCGTACCCCACGGACAAGAACCGCATTCAGTGCCGTTCTCAATGTGTCCACAGTACGTACCTGCACACTTTCTCCATGAATTCGTCAATTGGAGTTGGTTGAACGAGGACATAAACGTCCAGTTCATTGTCTCGTAGTTAGCTACAACAGAGGAAAGGCGAACGATGACGTTCGTGATCAATAATGTGTCAATTCGATATTTTGATAATTACTCCAATAAAATGTGCTTTGGTGGTCTAGTGAAGCTGTATTAACCTTTCAAGGCGAAAATGGGAGCGGGTGTATAGAAATAAAGGTTTTACAAACGAGGAGTGAAATAGGTGGGGGGGCTCAAGTGGTCAAGGTTGCTAACCTGAAGGTCCGTGTTTCGAATCCCACCCCGACATCTCGACTGCTCTCGTATGGGATTGGGCAACCTAACAGTATCTCAGTCCTCGGGAGGCACGGCAACCAGACAGGGGGGTTACAAGTGGTCAAGGTTGCTAACCTGAAGGTCCGTGTTTCGAATCCCACCCCGACATCTCGACTGCTCTCGTATGGGATTGGGCAACCTAACAGTATCTCAGTCCTCGGGAGGCACGGCAACCAGACACTGAGGGGGGTTACAGCCAAAGGATGACATTATTCGACGCCACGACTTTTTTGGGCTAAACTACGTCGCGGTTGCTCGTGCCGAAGTAGTGTTTTACCCAAAGTGGAAAAACCCGGAGTCCCAAAAGTCGATTGAATGAAACATCAAGTTCTCTGTTAAATGATGACAAGGGACCATGATTTTACAACGCTCACCGGAAAATTTGCATTGGCCGCTGGCACGAATGAAGGTGAATTGCCAGTTGTCACGGGGAATCGAGTAGGCTTGCTTGAAAGTCGACCTCTCATGCGGATGCGAGCTATTCGTTGAGTGAACAGACGTTCTTTGACTGTACACACCTATTAATAATCACAGGTCAATCATTGCACACATTTCAGCAAACAGGCCTTAATGTAACACATGGAAGCACGACGTTCCGATCGGTACTTAAAAATGGCACTCAAACTGCATCGAGCCATTTTGGCAACGGAGTTTCTTCAAACCAGATCATCGCTCGCGCACCCTGCACGCTGTCCCTTTGGGAATTAGCGCGCACGAACATAGCACAGGATGGCAGTCGCTGGGAATGATTGTGCGTCGGTGTCATCTAGTTCGGCATTGTAAAAGAAAATCATTTGTCCACAAGCTGCTATTGATAAACACTAGATAGCAAACTTTCTTATTACTAAACAGCTGCTGCTACCATAGAAGGGCAACGCTGCGTAAAGAGCTGGTGTAGAAACATCACTATCATCATCGAAACTATGACATCGGTGTTCGAACACTAATCCATCCCTGCCGTGCAACCATAATTCATTTAGATGTTGTACTGTGAAAAAAAGACTAAAAGTGGACGGGGAAGGGACTTAGTGCTAGCCTATCACAACCATCCCGAGGTGCCTACACCTCCAGGTACTCATTCTGACAGTCTGGATAGAAAGGGACAACAACAGTGCCATTGAAATCGATTAGCAGCCATACCTCGCAGCGCCTCTAATTACTCACACAAGGGGTCCTGCGGACCCCATTTTGCCAGGCATTCATCATCATCATCATCATCGACAGCCTGGTATCAGTGTTCAAAATGGATGCTTCACTGCCTCCGCTATTTTGAAATGAGCTGGGAAAACAGCACTCTTCGGCAAACGATGGTGCAACACACGCACACACGGCCTAAACAACTCAGCTTTTCGCACTGGACACATTCTTCGATTAAAGTTCCATTGCTCTACCGATTACTCGTTTTCTAATTGTCTCGTTGCGAATTCGCCGGTATCAGACTAAACGAGTTATGATTATGAGACTGTAGCCCATGTAAACCGCTATTTCCCATCATCATCCTCAGCTGTAAGAACCGCGTATTCGTCATACAGTGGTTGTAGCTGCCGCAGTTTCGTTCACCGATGATTTGAGGGGGGTAGGTAGCTCCGCATTGCACGCGCGAGCTGGTAAATTGGTGCATAAATCCAGCACTGTCAGTGGGCTGTCAAGT